ATACTGAACAAATTGCTCCCTCTCTTGCTGTGAATGTGTATGAAAGGGTGAATGTGGCACGTAGTGTAAAAGCCCTTTGAGTGGTCGGAAGACTAGAAAGGTGCTATACAAATACAGGTCCGTTTACCGTCTAACTGAGCTCATAAATCAAGTGAGAAGTTGGCTCATTTCCCCATAAGACTCAATAATATTGTGCTTCTTTGTGGCAGCACATGGTGCTGCCCCCTGCTGGCCATTAGAAAGAATACAGGTTTGAGACACTTCCAAGTTGGCTTCACTTCACAGACCCGGAAGCCACTAATTATGTACTGTCAATGGATATAACCTGTGTACATAAAACATTAACTATTTTATATTAATTGACATTCGGATTTGGAACCTATATTGAATCAATTCGGCAATTATAGTGCTGTGTTTTATTATTTTTTATTCACAAATTCAACAACAAAGTGCTTTAAATTTCTCCACAGCAGCAACGGCGGCCAAACCTCCTGGGTATTGTAGTATTTACAACCGTCCAGCGCCATGCCAAACTGACATAAAACATGATTGTTTAGTTACAAAGATGACATAAATCAAACCAATGGCCATCACACAAACACAAAGAATTGTGACATTATTCCAGCGAGTTCTGTGTGTTTCTGGAACATAAAAGATTTTAAAAATGAATTAGCAGTGGCATTAAAATACTACTTGAAGCAGCAGCTACTCCCACTTCACAACTGTATTAAACACTGTCTGCCCACATACTTTAAACTCAATGCCCTCAGATCCATGAAAGACATTATACAACTGTGTTCACAGGCTGCGTATTTCTACTCATGATGAGTAAACTGGTCTTAATGTGTAGAATCAGTGTAGTGCCCCTTTAAATGCATAACCCAAAAGGACTATCCAAATATTTCTTATTCATATTGTGAAAAGTGTTAGTTGTGGTTTGGTACCTTGGCGTCTTAAGACATAGGGAGCTCTGTTTATTGAATGGTAATGTGTGGTAATCTTATGGTAATAGGGACTGATGCCATCTTAAAACTGAAAATCCTTATCGGCTGAATGAGCATGTGGATTTTGTGGGACTTTTGAATACAGAAGCATGCTGTCCTCAGTCTGCCACATCTTTGCACATACTGTACTGTATCTACATCTGTCTGCAAGACTGATGTGCCTGCGGAAGCAACCCAGCAAATCCACTGGGCATTTCACAGGGGAAAATATGGAGCACTGCCCAAAACTCTGCACAAAGCACTCTCAGCATGATCAATATGTGCATATATAAAAAGTGGGTGAACAGCAAAAAAAAAAAAATGTGAACAAAGGACCATCGTGCATTTCCCAAGATTACAGCAGGCAAATATTAATAGAGTGAGTAACGCTTCATGACTACCAATGGTCTCAACTTATTATCTCTGGAGGTTGTGAGACAGGCTTTTAATTTGACTGAGGCAACCTCTGATTGATAACTGGTCAGGAACATTCATTACATGCAAACTTTTATTTCTATAATGTTTTATGAGTCTAAAATAGTACAATAATTATCCTATGATATTCTGGATGTGAACTCAGTAGAATGTGGCGTTTTGTGGATATTTTGCTTATTTCATCCAGTTAAATCATTACAGGATAAACCTCCATTCAAGACATCAACATTTGTTTTTGTAATTTCACATGCACACAATCTGTTATTCTTAAATCTCTTGTGTTCTTGTTCTAATGTGTAAAAATGCTCAGATTCAACAAATGAAAAATATCTTGCTTGCTGTTTTACTCAACAATGATATTAGCAGTGCTGTCGTCTAATAAGTGGCTCATACAGACGAAGCACTTTCTATGTGCAGCATACTGTGTGTCTTGTCTCCATCACAGGCATTTTCTCTTCATGCAGATTGCTTGTTCTTGTTTATAGCAGACAGCCTGCGCCACTTTAAGATTCCAAGTCAGAGATACATATCGCAAGTCATCATTCTTTTTGCTGAAGGAAGCAATGTTGCTGACATTGCCATGTTGCATTAGAGTCACACCAAGAAAACAAGGGGACATAATCTAGGACATGCTGTCTGGAATCATCCGAAACAACTTCAGATAATCGACTCTGAGCCGCAGAATTCCTTCTTCTCAGACGAGCCAAAGCTCTCAAACCAACAGGATCATAAACTTACAACCCCTAGAAGCAAAAAATGCAAGCGGACCTCAAATCTCTGTACCAGACGGTAACGACGGATTCGGAACATACGCTACTGCCTCCATCAGATAAACTGAATAATTATATGAAATTAAGACTGGAAATGACACATGAGCAATTGTTTTGCACAAAAACAGGCCACGACTCATAACTGATTAACCACATTCTTGGTGTGAGTTCATTGAAATAGATCTCATTACTTCAAATATGCAATCTGATATGGCAAGGGACTGCAAACACTGCAGTGCAGCATGCTGCGTGCTTTGCGTCAGCAAAACAAGTGTCACGCTACCTTGCCCTCGTAACTCCTGTTGAGGTGCCCTTGAGCAAAAATATCTGACACTAGCCTGCTCTAGTGGAGCTACCCAGCAGCCACCCCACTAGGACACTGGTTTTACTGGAGTTAAAGGTCCAGTGTGTAACATTTAGGATGATCTATTGGTAGAACTTGAATATAATATTAATAGGTTTGTTTTTATTAGCATATAATCACCTGAAAATGGGCATTGTTATTTTTTTGTTACCTTAGAATGAGCTGTTTTTAACCTACAGACGCCGCAGGTTGGCTTCCATGGAGGTTGCCATGTTTTCACAATGGACAAACTAAACACCGGCTGTAAATAGGGTGCGTTTCTCGCACAATTTGCGGCCAGTGTAGTTTCTCCTTTGTGCTTGGAAGGAGAGGGTAAAACGAGGGAGTTGCGATCCGCAACTACTCCGCTAGATGCCACTATATCCTACACGCTCAACCTTTAAAGGTGTTCACTGCAGCGTTATTGAAGGAAATCTTCTCCACTCACCAGTCTTGCAGATGGGACAGCACTGATCAGGCTCGTACTCCGGGTCCACACACTCTGTCTGAGGGCAGGCTGACACAGAGCACAACACCTCTCCACTTGGCTCACACCGGCACTTCTCACATGGAGACACCTGGATAGCAGAGAAGAAATAGTAATTAACACCCCTATAAACAGTTCACAAGCAGACACACAGACAACAAAGAGTCTCCTCTTAATTAATTTCTTGCTATCTTCGTCTTTGGGTCTTTGTTTGTCTCAGTGTCTGTCTTTTCCTCTGCTCTCTCTCTCTCCAGCACACACACAGAAACACTCCTGTCTGTCTGGTTTGTTTAAGACAGTGTGCATTCAATGTCACAAAGCTACATCTATAGGGAAGTCTCATCCTTCTCAACTTCATTGCCAATGAATGCTTCATTTTGGGGAGAGCCGAGTCGAGAATTGAACTTCGCCATCCAATCGGGGGGTATGGAAAAATCATTAGGAATGGGATACAAAAGAAAGATGCTTCCAATTTTCTTGGTGCATGAACAGAAACATTAGAAATGACTTGGTTATCCGAGTGATCCTGTGTGTCACGAAATAAAACAAATTTGGGACAAAGGCTGGGACTGATAGTATACAGTTTGAATTACATCCAGCTACTATAGTGCCCTTGAAATGGTTCATTTAGCAGCTGCTTGTATAAAGCCTTACACCTTTGGTTTTAACAACAGAGCAAAGGTTAATTCTACCAGCATTGCTGTAGATTGCAGAGGTTTGCGCCTCCGCATGGCACTCCACTGTGAAAAATGGAGCGAGGCAGCACTTACTACGAAGCCCCAGAACTTAGCAATCAAGCATAAAAACCTGCCTGTTGCTTAGTTTCAAAGCACCCCCCTCCACACCACACAGCACAAAGGCTGATGTATGACGCTTGTGAAAGTGGAGCTTTCTGTAGATTTCCCTCAGCAGAGACTTGACATAGAGCTGTCGGTAACGCTGTGAGTTAGAAGAAGAAAAATCCCTTATTAGCCTTAACCTCCTGCTGAGACACTCGCCAACATAAAGAGAAGCATTAAGACCTGGAAAATGTAGCGTCTTGTCAGAGACATAACACCAAGACTGTGACGCAATTCTGAGTTGAAGCCTTTCAAAAAACGTGTCAGAAGATAAAATGTTAAAAATCTTGCTGGTGTATCTTTTTGATTTTTCACAGTGCATATTCTTAGCCCTGTGCTAAGACCCTGGGATAAATTATCCTTTTTTCACACACACATTGTTAATCCGGGGTTAACCTAAACCCTGGGCTATATGACTGACATTGCCTTAGGTTAAATGTCTTTTGGAACACCTGACTAATGTTTAAATGTACGTCTTTTTACTTTAGCCCTGTTTCAAGCTGGAGCCTTTCACCCCCAGGTTTAGTCAATTTTCAGGGGATAACCCCGCAAACTTGGCACACAAGCCCTAGGCTAAAATTGGGGTTAGCCCACTTTAAATGCACCAGGATTGTAGCAGTGTGAAAGCTTTTTTGGCCTGAGGCTAAAAGTTGCTAGTGGCTAAGAAGGTTCTAAGAATGTTTTTAGCCCTGGGCTAAGTGCAGTGTGAAAAGCCCTGTGTCTCTTCACAAACACCTACACCTAGCAGCATGCTCTGCAGAGTTGTAACATTACTACTGTAACTCTATGTGTATCAACAAACTGAATATGGAGACACTCTGCTGAAGCTGCATTGCTAAATTCAGCCTCAGGTAATATTCAGGCGTTGTGTAAGAAAAAAGACAAGTGCTGACCTTTGCCATTATAAATCTGCCTGCCTGCTCGCTTGCATGCTGCGAGGTAAGGTAACTAGTTTCTGTATAGTGCCTGTGATGAACTCCATTGAACAGCAAGGAGTGTTCTGTCAGCACTTCTTTGTTTGAGCATGTCAAAAATGAGTGAATGCAGTTAATGGGCTCACCTTAAACTCTTCTAGAGAGGCGTAGATCTTGCCCCGAAACTCGCAGTAGTTCTTTCTCTCCTTGCACTGCGGGCAGCATTGGCTAGTGTCCACTTTAATGCAGCGAGGGTGAACCCTGGGACATTCTGGTTTGGTGCACAGAGGGCCCTCGTCTGTGCAGAGGCAAGGGCACGTTGAAGGGCCCGGGGTGAACTGCTCACCGATAGCGTACACAAAGCCGCTCTCATCCATGCAGCCTTTCCCCCTGTAGTCTGGATAGGCGTACTCGTCGATGGCATCCAGAGAGAGGGTGACGTCACTGGTAGGGCCCTCGTCTATTTGGTTCAGGCTGTCCTGTTCAGTCCACAGCTCCTGGGGCTTCCCGCCCTTAGATCCTCGTGACTGGGAGCTGAGATTCGGTCTGGCGCGGCTCGCGGCAGTCCTGTTGGGGCCCAAACCATTGATTTCCTCCGGCCGCTGCTGAGCGCCATATCCCAGCGGCTCCTCGGAGACCTGCTTGTCCTGATGTTTGTCCTCCCTGGCTTGGGTCAACACCCTTTCCAAGCGTTCTCGGCTCGCTGGTAAGGTCGCTATAGGATTACACTGAGCACCGCTCATCAGGACCCCCAGAACAAAGAGAACTTCTGCTGTCATGGCAACGGAGTGCAGCATCTCTCCCCACCACCAGCGAGGTGGGAAAACACCTTGGCTCACATAACACACTTCACATCTCAGGTGTGAGCCAGTCCATCTGGAAAGAGAAAATTAAACTGGGGTTATGTGCTCTGTATTTTGTCACTTTTCATTCCAGGTGTGGCGTTTGTCTCGTTCAGCCTCTAGAACATTGCAAGAGATTCAAGCGACTTTAGAGCACTGCTCCATCATGTTAAACATCCTGCTGAGTGTGACGCAAGCCTGTAGGATCAGTGAATTGGATCATCAGGACAGGCAGTATTCATAGGGCCGTGTTACGAAATCGATACTGCTTCATACTGTAACACCTCTCTGCATCAATCGGTCCCAGCAGTGACAGAGTAAGAAGAAAATAGCCAAAGAAGGACCTGCATCTAACACTCTTAAGCTCCTGCTCTTCTTATGGAACAAAGAATCAGGATCAATGTCTGCTTTTTTTAAAAGAATCACAGTCAACTGTACAAAAGGAGAAATTGATTTGAAAATAGAACATAATTCTAGTCTGGAAAGATGAATTTACTATAGCTGACTAAAGTGGCCATATCAATTTCAAAATAAAGCCCGATCTGCTACAGCTTTTGCAAAGAGCCGCATTGGGCATCAAAACTTTTTCTAAAAAAAAAATCCCACTAAACATTTTATTGTTTTGTTTTAATCAAAAAGTAAAAGCACATCACTTTCTTTACAGCTCTCAGAAATGCAAGGAGTCAATACACAACAGCTAAAGTCGAGTGAAATCCCGGGATCAACTGCAGACGTTGCAGAGACTGCACATTTTTGAAAGGCTGTAGTCAATGTTTTTGTTTTTGTCTCTTGCTTAACTTGATTTACTGCGGCGTCTTGAAATTCAAATGCCTGCTATGTTGCTTTCCTGCGTTCGGTGGCCTACTTCCATTCATTTCCTCACCAAATGTTCAGTGTCATCGCTAAGCTCTGTTTAACGGGCTGCAGCTGTGTTGACATTTATAACTTATTCTGAATGAAGGTGAGATTACTCCGAATTGACTCGACAATTAACTGCAAACTCCTGTCTGCGCCTGTTTAAGAATATTCCACCATATTGATTAATTTGTCAACCTCAATGAGCACAGCTAATTTTCAACAGAGCGATAAGGAGCCCTAAACAGGAGGTGAAGAGAAACTAAACATTAAATGAGCCGCAAGCAAATCCGTTTCGGTATGTGGCAATACACAGAAAGAGCAGAGATAATGCTGGGACAACCAGCCACATTAATTCTATCCGACTGCAACTATGAAGCCAAAGTCTCCCCATATGTTTTAACTCGTTTTAACGCATTTTGATATTCATGAATTCTGATCCATTCACAGGGAAAAAGGCTGAAATTGACTGCTGGCATGCCAGTGGTATTTGAGCGGTGTTTTAGCTGAATTGCTATGTTTGAGGCAGAATCCTTGGAGCTGCTGTGGAACTGAGAGGAAGCAGAACGAGGTGCATACCGATAACGCTGCTGCAGCTGAGAGAGAGAGAGAGAGAGACAGAAAGGGAGAGAGAGAGGGAGATGAGCCCAAGCCTCATTAGTAAAAGGACCTCATTTGGCTTTTCTCAGCCTCACCTCTCCACCTTAACAGCTGTTACTAGCTGTCACACTGTTACTGCTGCTGCTGTGCTCTCCGTCAAGACTGAGCACTGGGTGGCCCTCAGGCTGGTTGTCAACTGGGCACAAACTTGCCATAGCACCACAGAATTTTAAAGGTCCTGTGTGTCACATTTAAGAGGATCTAATGGCCGAGATGGAATATAATATTCAAAACAGAGTTTTTATTAGTGCTAAAATTTTAATTGTTATGTTTTTGTAACCTTAGAATGAGCCTTCCTTGTTTCTACCGCAGCTTAGAAAGAAAAAATCCAAATGCAGCCTTTATGTAGGGCTGTTGGTATTTTTCACAAGTTTTGTGGTTACCGTTCTTTCTCCTTTGCACTTGGTAGGTGAGGGTGAAGGGAGAGTGTTGCCAGCTGCAACTGCACCGCTAGATACCACTAAATCCTCCATTAAATGCTACTCACTGACATGCTACTATGAGGGTACTATGATGTAATGCATTTTGGAGAACTAATTTGGACATAAAACGCACTCTGCATCTTTAATTGTGTACTGGGTCTTACTGAGCTAACTGTGGGGGTTAGTACTGACCAATATTTGACCAATCTTTCCTCCCAGGATGGTGAAGTCATGACCCAGAGCTGATATTCTCATCCTAACCCAAACCAATCTTACTCTTCATGCCTAAACATAACCCAAAAAAGGACAGGGAAAGCCACAAGTTCTAACTAATCAGAGCCACAATAGGGTTCATGACTTTGCCACCCTGGGGGAAAAACATTTGGCGACCGGCAATCTGTTTGTGTGCTCCACAATCTAGCTGTGCCGCCATTACTGTGGTGGCAAGTCATAGTGACTCTGTGAATGCAGCATGGGATGTTGGATTGATGATGTGAGGCAGCGGCCCCCAGCTACTGATGAAGGGATCTTATATGGATGGCGGTCGGAGCATTATTCAGATTTTACACATTAGACTAAAACTGATGTTTTATGATAATAGTCAGAAATATAGACTATAGCATAATCAATCAAGAGTTGCATTTAATCATCACATACCAGTTATGTTGGTAAAAATGAATAAATACGTATTCATGTTTTTTCATATATTCAAGTTTTCATTAAGCATGTTAACAATGTATGTCAAGTGTACGGTCTCAGACAGTAGCAATCTTGTGTGTTTCACATTCAGTTTTTTTCCAAAGTTGAAGTTTGCCGCTACCATTGGAGCAGCTCATAACGACACCGGTTCTTCACAATTTCCTAGACATCATTGTTTTATGTAACGTTACATAGAGAGTAAAGGGAAAAGTAAAGAATTGCACACTTCTTTGGAAAGCTTGCATTCAAAAAAACGCGTGCATAATGTAGGAAGTCTTCCTCCGGATTCGGGTGTATTCTGTTCCTTTCCATACAAGAATAAGCACATAAATCAAGCCCAAACTCGGGCCTCATTTCCATTATTCCTCCACTCAACACAACACAATGCAGAGTCCCTTAGCGTCGCTAACTAGTCAGTTACACACAGACACATACATTCACTTCAGCAGCAAATGTGTATTAATCTATTGCTAAAAAACCTGTCCTCAACAGACTCACTATTTGCAAAGAGAATACAGATCCTTCTTTAAAATAGAAACTATTGTATTTGTGACCATTTTTAAAGATGTATGTCTTCAGCAGGAGTGACTGGGCTCAGGACAGTATCACACACAGAATACAGAAATTAAAATACTGAGAGACAGAGTTGCGCATTTATAATTTTGGTCTTTTTATGGCATTTGCTGAGGCATAATAAGGCACATATAGACCCCAGCTATAACCTTTAACATTCAAACTAAAGCTGTACACCCTTATGTAGATTCTGTGGATCAACAAATTAAATTGTTTGCTAGATTCATTAAACCCTAATGCTCATCTTCTCTAAATATCTAATTAATTCTCAGCTGCACAAAAAGATGTGCGCCGCATGAAAATGTACAGGTTAGACTGAAACACAAATGTGTCCTTCTCACTGTAGTGCCTACTGTTAAACATTTTCAAGATGCCTTTGAGGATACTTTTTCTTGACCACTTTTCAGGTTCAAGTGGTGGCAAACTTTCTTACAATTATAATGTTGCATATAAGCCATTTGGTGAAAGGTCATGGATTTATCTTTGCCCTACAGCTCTGCAGAGAATTTTGTTTTTTGCTTCACTGCTCTATCTTGAATACTTTCTGGCTTGAAAGAGAAAACATAGCTATGAAATTACATAAAGTTACAATGCAGGGCTGACACGTCTCTGCAGCATAGGGTAGATGCTTGTGCGCTATTATACAGACAAATTGGAAGTAGTAAAATTGAGTGTAATGAGCACATAATGTGTGATAAACTGCAACCATGGTTCTGTGAAGTATCTTTTAGGATCAAAACGTGATGTAGCAACTCTCTGTGTTTTTACCAACACTCCTAGAGTCAAAGAGACACCACAGTCAGACTCATAATCTCTGCTCACGTGTGACCTGAAGCAGCCCGTGCTCAGTAAAGCCTCATACTAACAACTGGTTGCAGCCATCAATCAGCAGCATACCAGGGTTTATATAAGCCAACATCACTGAGTTCATTCACACTTCTGACACATTTGAACACCCACTTCAGAGAAAAAAAAATTAGCTCTGTAAGTGGAAAAACAACTCTCTTGTCAGCTCCAAATAATTATCACTGGAAAACAAACACTTATTAACGCTGGAAAATTAGCTGTATATTTTTGTCTTGAAGAAACAGTCGTGTTTTCTAACCGCACAGAGCTAAGTGGTCATGTGGTTGCCACATCTGTTCTGCAACTGACAGGACTCTGCGTGGTACTGATACTGAAGTGGCCCAAGCAATTACCAAGTGACAAACTATACTACAATCCCATATAAGTCCAGCCCAAAATGGCCAATTAAAAAAGAAGCTTCAGTCAAGTTCTTGTACATTTTAAAATGGAACAACATGCAGTTTGTTTTACACTGTAAGGGGGTGGACTAAAACAGTCTTGGGAACCAGACAGAAAGCCTCTCGTTAAACATGCATGATAATAACTCCCAATAAAACTAAGACCTCCACTTAGCTTTGCTGTTGCGCTGAATTGTAATCTAATGTTGTTTCTTTAATTGATTAATAAATAACGATGTAAACAGAAGCTGCGAGAAGTGATGTAGTGTGTGTGTGTGAACTGGGAAACTACACACCCCTGGAGTAAAATGTAGGTCTTAAATATACATATTACTAAAACATCTCTGCGCATGTTATCAAAGTTTAATGATCGGGTGGTACAAGAGTTTAAATGAACTGAGTTTATAATCCACCACTGAGCCAGACAGCTGCGGTCAGGCAGCACTCAGACCAGGGATGTGAAAGTTGTCAGTTCAAACCTCCGGCCTGACAGGTCGAACAGCAGGAGGACCTTTACTGGAAACTCAAGAGCAGCAGAAGCTTATTCCATGAAATACAATAATACATCATTAG